GGAATGGATAATGTAAACGGTTTTTTTTATGATATTGCTTTATGCCGAGAACCGATTTTTATGCTGAAAACTGCTTTTATGCCGAAATGTTTTTATGATGCAGTTTACCCGGGATTTTAATAAATAAAACTAAAAAAAAAATTAATATTATAATAATGACCATATTCATTATTCCCCCAATCCTTAAACTTGTTGTATATGATAACTTTGACATAAGTTTGTGTCTTGTGTTTATGGGATTAGCTCTTAAAAGTTGTAAAACTTTAATGAGGTATATTGAGGTGTATTTGGGTGTAAAGACGTGTAAATAGTTTCATGACTTATGTGTCATATGGAGGAATTCATTGGTCAGGTATTCCTACATTGATTGGTACATTTGTGTATTATGTGTCTTGTTGATGTTTGAAGTTTGATGGTCATTGATGAGGTTTTAATTTAATTACTTGATTTCATTGTGGTGAGTTGTATCAGGTAAATTGGTTTTTATTTATATTTCATGGTTACTATTATTGTACATACTTCTTTGGAAATGTCAGGAGCCATTTCAACGAAGAGGGGGAGTATGTAACCAGGGTTATGTATTTAATGCCGTATTATACTTGCGCTGTGTATATGTGAGAATGTGGTGTGTAAGACTTTGTGTGAATGAGGTTGTTGTTATTTTTAGACACAGGACAGACGGTCACATGACTTTATCCTATTCACCAAATTCCCGCTTTCACGCACTAACATCGGGCACTCTGAGCCTAGCCGTTGAATTGGTTAGATGTGTACTCTACAATATCATTATACAGATAGTAATATTTGTGAATCCCTGTGTGTGTCCCGGTAAGAAATCTATTCTAAAGTAAAGTTTATTATGTTTTAATTATCTGTCTAAATGTCTGTCTATGTGTCGTCTATATGTTGTGTGTAATTGTAATATTTCAGGTTTTTGACGTCTTATTTCAACATTAATAAATATAGTATTGAACCTGAACCAGATTGTCATTTCTGATGTTTTACCACTGGCTACAATAGTTATGTGAAAATAGTTTTGTACCATGTTTTTTTAATGTAAGCAATAAGAAGCATTCTAAACTTTTGATAATTAAACAAGAATATGGGTAAACATTAAGAGCTTTTCTCTGTAATGACTTGTCAAATAGTTACCCTCTTTTGTATACTATGGGTCATCCCTTGTATATTGTGCTTCATGTTAACCAGTTAACAAACATTAAAGACTGATTATTACAATAAATATACATATCTTAATTATTCAAATTTACTAATTTGAATTTAATGCTTTCTCAATTGAATAATAATAAAATTTTCAAACAGGTGTACATGTATCAATTTGTTCTTTTCAAATTGTATAATATTACTAATATTATAATATTATATTGTATTCTATCTGAACTGGGTAGACAACCAATATCTGTTTTGCTTGTATAACTGTTTTGCTTGTTTTGTCTCCCATTTTTCCTTATTACACTCACCCCACCTATTTAGAAAAACGATGGCGCCTACCTGATTATTTCCATCAATTTCCTCAGTGACATTAAGCATGTTCAGAAAAAAATATATTAAAATTTTGCATTTTGATTCTGGCAAAAAAAATGAAGTATGTCACATAAAAGACAACACGTGTATCTAGATAAATCCTCTCGACGTAAATAAAAGATATATACTAGAAAATATACTTTGAATATTTTATTTAGTGAAATTGTTACCGTATTTTTATACAAATATTACTCATGTTTCGACATGGGGATTCGTCAAAGACAGGTGCGTCGTATGCATTATATTTTGGATCTAATTTACAGAAAATCTCAACATTTGAATTTAATTATCATTTTTTTTCAGGAAGTTTTCTTATTCCGTATTTCAAAAAATGCATTTTTATTAATGACAGCTGTTCATGAAAGTTTTTTTTCAGAAGTCGAATTCAGAATTTTTTTTCCCATAATTATCGTCTTAAACATGTGAGGTAGAAGTGAGTTGTCCTCTTACTCTAAAAATGATATATACATACCCCTCTGGGATCGATGTTTTTAGTGTGTGTACATGTAAAACATGGTTTGATGGTTACATGTATAGCTCTTTCACAGGCAATGCTTTATAGCTCACCTGAGAAGAAAGCTGAAGTGAGCTTTTCTTATCATCCGTTGTCCATTATCCGTCCGTTCGTCCGTCTAGCTGTCCGTCAGTCCGTCTTAAAACTTTTTTTACATTTTCAAATTCTTCTCAAGAACCACTGGCCCAATTTTAATCAAACTTGGTAAAAGCATATTTTGATAATGGAAAGGTTATAATAAAGTTTATAATAAAGTCTTAAAATTAAGGCCAACTTCCCTTCTAAGGGGAAAAAATGAAACGACAAAAATAATGTTATCATTAAACATCTTCTTCTCAAGAACCAGCGGGCCAGGTAACCAAAGTTATTCAGGTGAGCGATATGGCCCTTGGGCCTCTTGTTTTCTTTTTTTTCAATATGGGCACACACGTTACTAGAAAAAAAATTATTGGAAAATATAATTCGAATAGTAATTGTTATTTTTCTGTTTTAAAATTTTGCTGTAATGAATGAGCCCAATGTATAAAGCACGATTAACTGTCCTACAATGTATTTTTGGCTTCTTCCTGGAAAACTTCGATCCATGGTAAGGTTTAGATTCAATTTTCAATTTGAAATCATGAACATCCTTTTTCGATGGGAATGTAAAATGAATCAATGGTCTAAAGGGTAAGAATCACCAACAAAATTTATTCTAAAGTCCTCTTATTATCATGATGTTTATTCATTTCATTAGTAGACATTTCATTTGTTTAAGGCTGCATATATTAATCATCATTCATGTATTGTAAAGCCATCAAAAGTTACACTAGTCTAATTTTATCTCTTTAATATCACAAACACATTTAGAGTCATAAACATTTTTGTTTGTATTTCTTTTTTCCTGTTTTGTGGACTAGGTTTTCAAAGTTCAGCTATCACTAAACCTCTCATATTTTGTACATGGTCATAATCATTCATGTCTGGCCTGTCCGTCCTTTCATGTAGGTGGTTATATATATCAGAATCTCCATAGTCGACTTCTCCATCATTTGTGTTTTCTTGTGTATATATGACTTGTTCCTTAAAAAACATTTTATAGACGTAAACAACAGTTTATTGAAGGTATATGCATACTCGTATATCAAATACACCCAAACACAAATATTTTACCATAATTGAAAATGAGGCCTCTGCTTCCATGTGGTGAGAAGAATTCATATCATTTTCATAGCTCACATCATTAACAATCAATAACTTTTTTACACCTGAAAAAAAAATCTTATGAACAAAATCGTGAAGAAAATGTACAAACAATATATAGTTTAAAAAAAACCGATTTAACAAGAGTCATTTTCCATATATGGTTAAAGTTAAGAATCAAACCTTCTTAATATTCTTTGAAAAAAGACAATTGTAAATTTAATCAATTGATTATGTGTATGTCAATATTGAAATGAGACAAATAACTGAAACAGTTATACCTAGAGGGTCTACACCAAAAAAAAAATTAATTCTTTATGAGCTCCATGGACTGACGCCTTCTTAAAATTATTTCCTGAGATATCCTTATGCAGAAAGAACAGCTGAGGCAACCCAATTATACTCGTAGATTTACTTACCTGGTCATTGGTCATTTGCAAAATTATTTTGTTAAAACACATTCTGATTGCAAACACAGTTAAGTACACTGATGTTGAAATCAAATTAAAAGATGCTTTTTGTTTATGTGATTGACAATATCAATGAGGTTTTTGGATACCAGGTATATTATCAGACCTATTTTCATGCATGAAAAGAAGAAAACACTTGCTGTGGCCTTCAACTCAACATTTAGATATATCGACGAAGTATTATCAATTTATAATAGTAATTCGTCGATACGATAAACCTTGGTGAGCTGAGATGAAAGATATCACAGAGTCTGACTGATCTGTTTCATACTTAGATATTCTACTTGAAAAAGACATTAATGGTAATTTAACAACAAAGCTTTAAGATAAACGTGATGACTTTAACTTTTCTATCGTCAACTTCTCTTACATGTACTTATGCAGCAATATAACTCTATCAATTGCATACAAGTATATAAATCTCAGTGAATTCGATACGCAAGAGCATACTCTACGTATGTACAATTTCTTAAACGATGTTAATTATTGACAAGAAAGTTGATGGAACAAAAATATCAGCAATCTCGTTTAAAGTCATCACTTCGTAAGTTCTATGGTCGATATAATGACCTTGTCAGAAAATACAATTTATCATTCAGTCAAATGCTAACTGACGTTTTTCATACTAATTGTAAGTCCATTATTTATGTATTTATCAATGTTGCTAATAACACGTGTTCGTGTTTATTTATATCTGTAATCTATTGGCTGTAATGCTGGTCACCTTGTCAGGTGACATTTAAATATTCATTGCACGGGTTTTAACTGACCGCTGTTAGCACAGAATATTCTAAAGCCATTCGAAGGCTCTTTTTAGTGCATATAACACGTCTTTTTTCACTCTCTATTTCCACGTAATATGGGCGATTCGGGCGATGAACTGACTTTGGACACAGATAAATTACCGAAAGACAGCACAGGAGGGAACTCTTCATTGGAAATCTCGGACATTGTTAAACTCTTCACGGGAGTAATACAGTCTCAATTCAAAACTTTCTCGGGACAGTTAAAAGCGGAGCAGTCTGAGTCCATCTCGAAGAAACTCAAGGAGAATTCTCTTCATAAGATAAAGTCTGAAGGCAACCGAATTCAGTTTGAATTTAACGCCGAATTATTAGAGGGTTTAGAGAAGCTAGAGTCGAGAGCCTTTGATTTAAAAGATTCTGAATCATTGAAAATCATTTCTGACTTGTGTAAAAAATTGAAAACGCGTCAAAAGCATATACGCATAGCTGATTCATCTCCCGCGGGCTGGAAAACTGTCAATTTGCAACGAATACCAGTGTAATGAAATCGCAGACAACTCCGATGATGAAAAGAAGATACGCAGTGCCGAAAACAGGGCCCTCAGACATCAGAAGCAGAACAAGAGATTTCAGCCTTACGGGACACAGAAAACGCCACCAGCGGCAGCTGCGGGATCTCCGGCTCAGCTGGCTCTTCCTGGGGCTACTAGTACTTTTCAGCCCTTTCCTGCCTTTCAACAGCAGCAACAACAGCCATTTCTCTACGGCCAAAGCAGAAACAAGCAGTCAAGGAGACAGCCTATGCCCTACGACGTTTGCTTCGGTTGTTTCGGAACAGGGCACTGGAAATCCAACTGCCCAAAGGGAAAGACCAATCAAAGTCAATGATAAGTATACAGGTTGTTTGACTTGTGTTCATGAAAAGAGTCATACGGAACAAAGTATTAAACATAGTCTAAAAAGGCATTACAGTAAATGGGAACAAATTGGGGCTTTTCCTTACATTTTGAAAGTAATACATTCTGGTTATGAAATTCCTTTCCTCTCTTTTCCGCCATCTATGAATTTTAGAAATAACAAATCTGCAGAGATTAACGCTGAATTTGTCACATCAGAAATATCCCAGTTAATCAAGACAGGTTGTGTTGTAGAAGTTACACACAGACCATATATTGTAAGCCCTCTTAGTGTCGCGGAAAACAGGTCAAAAAAGAGGTTGATACTAGATTTGAGTAGACTGAATTATTATGTGAAATATGAGAAAATAAAGTTTGAAGATTGGAAAACAGCCCTGGATTATTTTGAGAAAGATTGCTATTGTATAAAATTCGACCTAAAATCTGGCTATCATCATATTGATATTTCTGAAAGTTTCCAGACATATCTTGGGTTCTCATGGAACGAAAAATATTATCGTTATACTGTACTCCCGTTCGGCTTGTCATCTGCTCCATTTATTTTTACAAAAAGTCTTAGACCTATTGTTAAATTCTGGAGAAAGAAGGGTATTAAGATAGTTCTTTACCTAGATGACGGTTTTGTGTTTGCCCCATCAAAACAGGAATGTTTTTCAGTTTCTGAATTCATTCAAAAGAGTTTGTCTGACTTTGGGCTACTTATAAATTTTGAAAAATCTGTATTTTACCCAACTCAGAATTTGGAATGGTTAGGAATTTCTTGGGATTCACAGTCATTTTCTATTTCAGTGCCTACAAGACGTTTGGACGATACAGTGGCTTCTTTGCAGAAACTAGTGAAGAGTTTTCCTAAAGTGACGGCCAGAGAGTTGGCAAGAGTGGTTGGAAAGATTATGTCAATGTCACCAGTGATGGGTAACATATGTAGCATTATGACAAGATTCTGTTCTATAGAGATAGCATGTAGAAAGTCATGGGACGATATTATTGTATTCACACACAAGAACGAGGTTCTAAATGAATGTAATTTTTGGTTGCAATGTATTTACTCAGAAAAAACAAGATATTTACACACACCGACAAAGAAAAGTGTGATTATTTACTCTGATGCGAGTAGTCTAGCTTCAGGAGCGTACACTGTCGAAGTTGATTCAAAAAATTTTTCACTTAATGTGGAAAGAGTTTGAGAAGGGTATGAGCTCTACTTGGAGAGAGCTTCGAGCGATTGAATTAGCTTTGGCTTCATTTAAAGATAGTTTAGTGAATAAAGAGGTGAAATGGTTCACTGATAATCAGAGTTGTTTAAAAATTGTTCAGTCTGGTAGTATGAAACATCATTTACAATCTCTTGCTTACAATATTTTCAAAATGTGTGTAGAACAAAAAATTTCAATTGACATACAATGGATTCCAAGATTACAAAATGATAAAGCTGATTTTCTTAGCAATATTATAGATCACGATGACTGGGGCGTTACTGCTACATTTTTCGAATTTGTTAACAACTTGTTCGGAACTTTTACTGTTGACAGATTTGCAAATTATAACAATTGTAAGTTGGGACGGTATAATTCAAAATTTTGGAATCCTGGCTCAGAAGCTATTGACTGTTTTACACAAAACTGGGAACACGAAAACAATTGGTTAGTGCCACCTATTCACCTAGTAGTTCGGGCTATTAAACATCTAATAGCATGCAAGGCTTTCGGGGTCTTAATTGTTCCAAACTGGCCCTCCGCTGTTTTTTTGCCATTTATTTTTGATAAAGATATGACGTATAGATGGTACGTTAAAGATGCTTTACTATTCAATGATTGTACAGACATACTTATTCAGGGTGATAACAAAGCGTGTTTGTTTGGATCAAAAAATTTTACTTCTGGGATAATGGCAGTAAAGTTGGATGCAAAATCCTAATATAGAACGCTATATAGAGTTTGTTTATATACTCATGTTGAGATCAGAATGTAAATATAGATACTTTTTGAGGTGTATTGCAGATGAGATGGGTCCTGGTACACCAGATGTTTATATTGGTCAGATGTATTGCAGATGATTTATGGTCCTAATACATCTATTAAGTCGGTGTATTGCAGTTGATTGAGGGTCCTGATACACCATAAGAAAATGTGTATTAATAACGTCAATTTAATCTTTGTATTCCGTTTTATACAATTTTCATATATATTTAAAATGGGACGGTGGTCTGATAGTGCGAGGATTGAGGATCAGCGATTACAACAACTTAGGGACTTTTTACCATCCTACTGCCTAAAATCCAAAGCATCGAACACATCAAGTCAATACAGGTACGCATTCAATGCTTTCTGCAGATGGTGTGGGGCTTTTCTGCCTGCTATTTCTGCATTACCCGCAGCGGATGAACACGTGGCTCTCTATATAATTTCCATCGCTAAAGATTACAAATCTTCAAGTAAAATTCAATTAGCTACACACTCTATTAGTTGGGCACATCAGCTAGCAGGGCTAAAAGATCCATGTGAATCCGTTTTAGTGAAATTAACAAAGGAGGGTGCAATAAGAGAGACTTCCAAGCCAGTTGTAAAAAAGGAACCGATTACACCAGATCATTTGAAGTTATTGGTTCAGAGATACAAATCAAACAATTTATATAATATGCGTACTTTATGTTTGTGTTTGTTGGGTTTTGCAGGGTTCCTCAGATTCTCGGAGCTCGCTAACATTAGACTTAATGATATATCATTTGACGATGTGTGTATGAAAATTAATATTGTGAAAAGTAAAACGGATGTTTACAAAGAAGGGCAGGAGGTGTGTATTGCTAGAACTCATGGTGACACTTGTCCTGTACATATGTTAGAAGAATATATAAAATTGCTGGGTGCTGAAGTTGATTCATCAGAATATTTATTCAGATCTTTGTCATTTTGTAAAAATACAAGTGCATATAAAGTTTGAAGAGATAATCGCCCTTTGTCTTATACTAGGGCACGAGAAATTGTCTTGGATGCTTTTGAAAAAATAGGTTTAGATAAGAGCAAATTTGGTCTTCATAGCCTACGGTCAGGCGGGGCAACTTCCGCTGCAGCGGCTGGTATAAGTGACAGGTTGTTTAAAAAGCATGGGCGGTGGAGGTCAGAAAAAGCTAAAGATGGCTATGTGAAAGAAAACATTCAGGATAAATTATCTGTAACCAAAAACTTAGGTATATGAAATTCACATGATTATACAAGTCATTCTCTTTCGACTCTTCTTTGTCTTTCGAAATAAGTAAACTGCACTATCAGAGCGCTTCACATCTTAATATACGTGTTTGTGTTTATTTTATAAATTATTTATGTTCGTTTGAGTGGCACGAATAAGAACATAAATGTATTTATCAATGTTGCTAATAACACGTGTTCGTGTTTATTTATATCTGTAATCTATTGGCTGTAATGCTGGTCACCTTGTCAGGTGACATTTAAATATTCATTGCACGGGTTTTAACTGACCGCTGTTAGCACAGAATATTCTAAAGCCATTCGAAGGCTCTTTTTAGTGCATATAACTGAATCCCCACCCACCCGCCCTTGCTTTACATGTTTTAAAAAGATTTTATATTTAAAAATCTTACTTTATTTTGTAGAAAGGAAGACAATTAAAGAAGGTTGATATGTATTTGTAACAATCTGTGTATTATAAGTAAACTGCACTATCAGAGCGCTTCACATCCTAATATACGTGTTTGTGTTTATTTTATAAATTATTTATGTTCGTTTGAGTGGCACGAATAAGAACATAAATACACTGAATTGACAATGGATTTTTTCTGTTATTACCTGATCATGACAAGGAGCACAGTTCAGCAGGGGATCCTCACTCCTCCATAGCACCTGATCCCACCTCTGAGGTCTGTGCTTGCTCTGTTCCTATTTAGTTTTGTTTTATGGACTTTGATATTGAATACTGTTCGTTAATATGCATATTCCTTCTTCAATGGAATTTTAATAAAAACAAGATGTGTTTGGGAAACACTGATGCCCCTGTGGCGACCAAGTGAGAATTAAACTTTTCTTAAATGCAAATATTATTATATATTGGTACTCAAAGTACTCCTAACTGGAAATACAATTGTGTATTTTGAAAACTCTATCACCATCTGTTCCAAAGTTATGGCCAGGTTAAAGCTTTTTCATAAGACAGAAGTCTTTAAGATCAAGGTTAAAAGGTCAGAGGTTAGTGGTATACAATGAAAGGTCAATGAAACACAAAGAATATATATGTGAAGTATGGAAGCCCTAACCGTTAAAAGATTAAGTCCAAGATTAAAAAGATTTTATAAGTAGGTCAAACTCTAAGATCAAGTACAGAAGGTCAAGGTTATTGGTATTTAATGAAAATGTAAGCCCTAGCCCTTTAATTAAAAAAAACCTGAGCTGAAAGCTAAAGTGAGCTTTTCTGATCACACGTTGTCCGTCTTCCGTCCGTCCGTCTGTCCGTCCGTCTGTCTGTAAACTTTTCACATTTTCGACTTCTTCTCAAGAACCACAGGGCAAATTTTGACCAAACTTGGTACAAAGCATCCTTGGGTGAAGGGCAATTTAAGTTGTTAAAATGAAGGGACATATCCCCTCGCAAGGGGAGATAATCAAGAAAAGACAAAAATAGGGTTGGATCATTAAAAAATCTTCTTCTCAAGAACCACTGGGCCAGAAAAGCTGAAACTTATGTGGAAGCATCCTGGGGTAGTGTAGATTCTAAATTGTACAAATCATGACCCCCGGGGGTAGGGCGGGGCCATAATGGGGAATCAATGTTTAACATAGAAATACATGTACATAAATCAGGTAAAATACATATATCTTGTAAAATACATATATCTAATACTAGAGATCTTCCCTTAAGGTTTACTTTAGATGGTCTTTTTTGATGTTGATGTTTTTAACGATTCAATTTCTTAAAATTAAAAATCGCATGGATATTCCCAAGAAAAAAACTGGTTTACTAAAGTGATCACTTTGATCTTTGACAAACTTTATCGAAAACTTTGACACTTTGGAAAACTTTATCCAAAACTTTGACACATTGAAAAACTTTATCCAAAACTTTGACACTTTGAAAATTTTTATCGCAAACTTTGACACTTTGAAAACTTTATTTCAAACCTTGACACTTTAAAAATCTTTGGCGAAATCTTTGACACTTTGAAAAACTATCGAAAACTTTGTTACTTTGGCAAAAACTTTGATACTAAAAATTTGACGCTATGAAAAACTTGGCGAAAATTTGGATACTTTGAAAAACTTAATCCAAAAATTTGGTGAATACTTGGACACTTTGAAACACTTTATCCCAAACTTGGACACTTGGACACTTTGGAAGAAACTTATGAAAAAATTAGCCATAGTTATTTTTCTGTTAGGGATGATTGCAGTTTTCAACTGAATTTCCTTTGGTTTTTCGCTCTATTTCTTGAAAATTCTTATTTTCAATTTATAATCCTAAGATTTTGTGAAATGTAAAATATATGATTGTATTACTATTTTTCTTTATTTTATAATAAAGGACAAAGTCCGGGTCCTTGTATCTGTTGTTCAAAAGATTTGGCCAACGTAAAAGTTCAAAATTTTTGTGTTAAAGTGGGTCAAACTCTAAATCAAAGTAAAAAGGTCAAATTTGGTGGTACCCATTGAAAGGTCTTGTCACAAGGAATACATATGTGAAATATGAATGTCATAGCTAAACTAATTCAAAGGTAAAGCAGGGTTAAAGTTTTTGCGGACAAACAGACAGAGAGACAGACAGACGGACGGACACGACAAAACTATATATCCCCAAAACTTCGTTTACGGGTGCATACAAATGAGAGAAAGTCAAACTTTATTGTCACATGATATCTATATATGTTGTATTTCATCGAGCTCATGACATTATTTATTGAACAGCCCTCGTAGGGATATTTTCACTGCCTTGCATTGTCTGGGGTTTTGTTGAGATAGAAAACTGTTATTATTTATGTAACCCTAGTGATCTTGCTAGACTACCGCAATAGTTGAAATATAACAAACAATGCATGCTGAGTGAGAATTATCATTTATTAAATGACAATAAGTATATAACACAGATAAAGTTAAGGGGAGATCACCGGGATATTTCCTGAGTACAGCTGAGAACAATAAATTTATTTCATTATTTAAAAACAATCGGTTTTCATACAAAGTGTTCAGCCATTCCTTCTATACTGAACTCATTATTTTATTTTCAAAAATTCCCCTTTCCTTTTTCTGTGAACAAACCTACTTAAACATGTTGGGGAGAAAAGTGAATTCCGCTATTATACATGTATATAGTGGTATTTCACTGTTATAGTGAAATTATGCTATATTTCCCGTCGTGGATACCCTCAGTTTCATCCGATACTATGCAAGGCGTTTGAACCGCAAGTCATGGTGGGTAATAAAATGAACAAAAACTGTCATGCTTGCATGTTTTGAATTTTGATTAATTTTCTACCGTTGCGTTTAATAATGCGAGCACTCTTTTTTTTAAAGGAAGTTGCAAATCCATGACGGGAAATATAGCGTTATTTCACTATAATAGTGAAATACCACTATTATAGCGGAATTTACGTTTCCCCCAATCTGTTTAACGATTATTTAGGTATCTGTTGTATTTCTAAGCAGGAAAACTGACTAATAAATAATGTATAGTGTAATGATTTTTCTAAAGATATGCATTTTCTTTATAATATTATCTCAATGTTTCTCGATAACCTTTTATTACGTTGACGTTCCATTAAAATTCTTTGTAATATAGGACTAAACATTGTAGTGGAGGGTTCTCCTACGCGTTTCATATTTCCTTTAATTGTTATAAATCATAAGAATTCAAGTTTACTTTCATGAACTGGGGACTTATTGTTTGATTCAAGTGTAAGGCATGTTTTAAGCTCGAGTGTGTTATAACTTATAACATATGTATGATGATGAACATTTGAAATCTAAATATCTTTATTCCGATATGAACATATTCAGCTAGCAAAATATTATGTTTGAAACCCTCCCCATACGCATTTGTAGACAGAGTTAGAAT